GTACTAGGGTGACCAAGTCCTTATTCAAGAATTACCGATAGACTTGAAACATAATTATGTCAACAATAAATCTGCATTATTTATTTACAACTATATCACTTATCGGTATGATTTGAAAGCGTGCTAAAATTTATTTGAAGATTTCAAATCTCATTGAGACAGTTTAAGTGTTCAGTGAATATTTTTGCATATGTAAGTTGAATAAAGACGGAGTACAACAACAAGCAAATTGATAGTGAAAATAATCTCATAATGTATAGGCTTCGCAAAGTAAAGTTAGAAGATAAGTTCTTAACAAAAAAAGAATAAAGTTATAATGCAAAAGATATAGTTTAGAACAATAACTATGAGAGACAAAGAATAGATTTTTGAAACAAAGAACTAGGTAAATATGAATATGATAACAATTATAAGGGAAAACAAAGAATAAAGTGAAAGATGAACAAGTAATAAAAATAAACAAACTAAAGTAAAGCAGGAAGATCATAAGAAATAAAATAATAGTATAAAAAGATAATGGAGCATAAAAAATAACATTTAGAAGTAATCAAAAAGAAAATTTCTATTGATAATGGTGAGAAAATTGTGTAAAATATAAAAAATGAGAAGCATTGAGAAGAATAAAATGCGATAATAAAAAAGGCGATCTAATGAAGAGTGTAAATGAATTAGAAGAGAAAAAATGGTGCAATAAAAGATGAAGATTGCAATATAAAAAGAGGAAGGTAAAAGTGTTCAGATAAAAGAAGTAATGGAAAAAAACGTAAGAGTTTCAAATTAAAAAAAAAGAAAATTATTATGGTATATAGAAGGGAAAGAATAATAGATAAAAAAGTAAAATTATTCAATTAAAGGATAGGTTAAGTTATAAAAATAGTATGAATAAATACAAAAAAAAATTTATTTTAATTTGTGTTAAAAACAATAGCAAAGAAAAGTGGAGAAAAGAATAGAAGAAAAATTGAAAAGAAAGAAAAGAGATAGATTTAGTGTAAAAAGATATGTATACGAAATTAATAATAAAGGAAAGGTAAAAAAGAGAAGTGAAAGAAAAAACAAACATATATTCAAAAGAATGAGTAAAGATAGAGAGGAGGCTATAAATGATAATATATTGAGAGAAACTATATCACAAAAGAAAGAAGAAACTTCTTTAACAGAAATAAAGAACTATGAAAACGATATAGGCGTTAGGCCAAGGATGCTAGAAAAAAGAGAGAAAATGCATGCTGAACCAAAGAATCGAGACAAAAGAAGCCATAATAAAGGAATAGAGGAATACTCTGAGCATATACTTAAAAGAAATGAGCAGATTCCTGCAGAGGAACCACAGTTGTCATGGCCAAGCCAAAGCATGCAGGTGGACACGCCGATCGAGGTGGTCTATTCGTCTTTACAGAATTCGGAAATAGACGAGGATCTGCCCTATGGAGACAAAGTGGAGATTGAGGAGCCATCTAACGCGATCGGCTATTCAGCGCTGGTATCAAGGCCGAAAGTGAATCTCATCGAGGCTGGCATGCTTACGAAGCCTAAATCTGTTTGCCATGCTTGGAGCCAAGCAGGAATATCCTTACCTGAGAGGGATGGTTGGTTTCGTGACCCCAGACCAGCAGACTCTACTCACCTGACGGATTACCTATACAGAGCTTCGCTTGCATTCCATGAACCTAAAGAGAGATGCTTAGAGAAGAGAGAGATTGGCGTTCAGGCATTTGAAGTTAAACCACTTAGTGTGCACGATGGCCAGAATTCTTGCCTCGGCTCTGGCATGGGTTTACACAGATTTGTCATCGAATCCGGTCGGGTGAACATGCAGGTGATGCAACACGTGTCAGCAGTAGCCTCGATTGCATTGCAGACGGATCCTGACACAGATACAGCGACAGAGTCCAGTATTCACTTCCATCCTTCCCCTCACTCCCGGTCTGTGTTAACCGCGGAAGAATCTGTCGCCTCATCAAGATTACTGGCGATGACAGAGAACTCATCTGAGAGGCTCGTTAAGATGGATCCTCAAAGCCACGGCATACTAAAGGATGTCTTACGAACGCTACCAAATATCACCGAGGTCTGTAGCTTCTATACTATCGGGCTTGACGATGTCTCAGTGATAACTATGCCTAGGGAGATGAGCAGCGTGTCAGTTCAAAGTGAAGGCGGACAGACTCAACAACTAAGATGGGATGAAGAAAAGAGTGTCTCTGTCGACATTTCATTTGAGCAAAGTCAAAACGCTAAGGCGTATGTTGAGTTGACGCATCCAGATCTAGAAAGCCTTCCTAGAACTATCCAGCAATCACTTCTACATCTATTCACAAATACTTTGGAACTACCTACGCCTTCCTCAGTTCTCGATTCTTCGGCCCTTCTATCTTCTACACTTGATCAATCTTCTTCTCGATTACCTTATTCTGCTCCCTACTATAATGGATTAATATCGAATGAATATTCCTCGTCCTCACCTTCATTATTACTCTGGGATATTTCTTCTGATATTCTCCATCACAGCATTTATTCGATGAGTCATCAAAACGCTGATCTTCAATTAACTGCCTTCCGATCTCCACATTTTTCTCAAGTTCGCATTTTTAAAATTATTATTTTATATTCAGGTTTTGCCAATCTATATATCTTTCATTTTTTAAATATCGTTTCTTATCTTCATTAATATTCCTTTTTTTGTCCGTTTCCTTTCAACTATTTTTTTCTCCATACATAGTTTTAACGTTTTTTTTAATTTTTCCTTCATTATTCTCTCTTTTCCTATTTTTATTTTTATTTTCTTTCTCTTTATATTTTTATTACTCCAATTTCGTAATATCATTCATTTCACTCAAACTCAACTGAATTCTTCTCTATTTATCATGGTTTCCTTATATTAAATGCATCTTTTCAGTTTTTCCAAATTATTTATTTTATATTTTACTATTTACCTTGGCCGACTTTACGATTTTCTCCTTACTTTTTTATTATTATTTATTCTATCACATTCTCACTAAACTATTTTGGAGTCTTATTAATCAATTATTGAATTATCGTTATAAACACACTTATGATCGTTGCAGTTGCCTTAAGTCTAAGATAAATTTTTTATTAATTTTATATTCATGGGTGCGAGAATATGTCGATCGCGATTATTGCATTACTTTTTAAATGAGGCCTTTATTATTGATCCTCATTATTTCATTTTTAATGAAATAAAAAAATCGTGACTATTTTTTACATATGAAATTCCTCAAAGCAAAACATTCTAGCTTCTATTTTCAGGCTTCAACAATTTCCATATCATAGTAACCTATATGGTATCGCTGTATCAAAATGGAGCCAATTTTTGATACTTTGTTTCAAGCTAAAGCCTTATCGAAGGTATGAAGACCAAGAAAGTGTAGCCCTTTGTATGGTCGCAGTCTTCTTTCGTCGTATAGAAATTGTTT